ATAGTGTTTTGATACATTTTATAATCATTTTTCTGAATTCCTTCTCAGGCATTTCCAAAGCCTGCCCATCTTCCAGTATGGAGTGTAGGTCTATTTCCAGCTCATTTGCCTTAGTCACTTTATCTCGCTTCTGGACATGAGCTTATATGGTCATCTGCTTCTGTTTTTTAGGCGTATTTAGGTATTATCTGTGGCCTTAATACTTAGATGGGTATGTATTTTGATTTTTTTTTTTATGCTTTCTGATTGCCTCCAGGTAGATTTGATCAGGAAATGGGCTTCCCTTTTCACTCTTCTTCTTGAGAAATTTCAAGATGCCACTGTTGGTCATTTTGATATAACTTAGGATTTAATTTTTGGCTTATTGCCTTTTTTGTCTGCTTGTCCCGCTCCACAATCCCCGTTCAGGCCTTGTTTCTAGTTGTAAACAGTTCAGGGCCAGCTGTGAACATTTGGTTTTAATTGGAAAGTGTCTCTTTAAATTTCAATGAGATCTGTGAGCATGCATAGTAGAACCCTCTGAGGGTGGGGCTGGGGTGCCCACTAGCTCAGGCTCCCCTATAGTTATCAGAATGGAGGTACGCAGACAGCAAGGGACCAATGAACAGCTACCAAAAGAAAAGAATGTGCACATCTTTATCTCTGCAGTTCTGTCAGGTGTCTGTGGCCACTCTAATCCTTCCCTCTCTTGGTCTCACCCAAGATGGCGGCTTCTTGAGCAGCTGAGTGTCCCGGACTAGAAAGCAATGGATTTCTTGTTTCTGCCACAAATTCCCCCAGTTGTAAGCCTTCCAACCTTCTAAATATTCCTTTATATGTGGTTCAGAGTTCTGGGACCATCCCCAGAGCCTGCTTTGTCGGTATTCTGTGTTGTTGTTGGAGCTCTTTGCTGCACTTCCACCCAATCTGCCATCTTGTTTGTTCCTCCTACCAATGTATTTTTAAGAACTTAAACACTATGGATATTATTGTTCAATTCCCCTTTGTACATTTTCCAACTCCTATTTCTCTAAGGCAGTTACTTTCTGGAAGTCAGTATATTTTCTTCCTATATTTGTTATTCTTGTACAACATATGTGTATCCATACATAGTAGATAATAGGATCTTGTATGTTTTTTTCAGTCATTTGCATAAATGTTATGTAGTTTATTATTTCATTTTACTTTTTTCACTCAGCATTGGTTTTATGCTTTATTTGTGTTGATACATTAAGATTTAGCATTTAATTATTGTGTGGTTATATATCCATTTCCATATTGACCTTTAAAATTTTTATTACCACTCTGCAGTCCAAAATTTTTAGATCAAATACATCCAATTATTCATTTCTTCTAAGAGAAATAAGTTTCAATTTATGTAAATTTGTATAGTGCTAACTTTGTGGAAATAGTTCTCTCTCTAATAGATAGAAGATAATGTAGCAAATTTAAACTTAACCTAATCTAAGGGGCAGTTATTATAAAAATACCACCAATATATGGGACTAGTTTTGTTTTAAGGGCAATTAATTTATTCTTTCTGGCATAATATACCAGTTTTAGCATTAATGAAACAGTGATAACTACCACTAATTGAATATGTAATATAGTAGTGTATACCACATATTTGGACTCTTAGTGCAGCACTGTAGGATCAGCACTGGACTGTAAACCACAGGGTTGGCAGTTCAAACCCACGAGCTGCTCCTCAGAAACTCTATCCAGGGTTGCTATGAGTCAGAATAGAGAAGATGGCACTTAACAACAACAACAACCATACATCTTGCTCTTGTCAACTCTAGTCCTTACAACCTTGCAAGGTAGTATTTTTAACTTCACGCTATACACATAGATGAGGAATTAGAGATTGATTTATACAACTCGGTAGTATGTCCAACTAAGTCTAACCCACTGCCAGCGAGTCTGTTCCGACTCATAGCAACCCTGTAGGAAAGAATAGAATGCTTCTTTGGGTTTCTGAGGCTGTGAGCTTTACAAGAGCAGATAACCTCAGTGTTCTCTTGAGGAGCAGCTGATGGGTTTAAACTGCTCACCGTATGCTTAGCAGCCAGCACTTAACCCACTACGCTGCTAGGACTCCTTATACAGTATATTGTTGTTGTTAAGTGCTGTTGAGTCGGTTCCAACTCATAGCAACCCTGTGTAGGGTTTCTGAAGAGCAGCTGGTGTGTTTGAACCGCCGACCTTTAGCTTCAAAGTCCAGTGCTGACCCTACAGCAGTACACCAGGAGTCAACTTAAAATTGGCTCCAAAGTCTGTGCCTTTTCTTCTGTATAATATTGCCTGTTGTAAATGGTATTTTGAGTAAATTTGTTTGCCTCGCTTAAGTGAACAGCTTGTTCATTATTATAAATACATTTATTTTAAAGTGAAGTTATTTTTATAATGTCTCATTTATAGTCATTAAAAGGTATAAGTAATAAGGTAATAGGATCATTTAATTTTGGTAGTCTGCTGAAAGGGATTTAGGCTTCTAGTATCTTCTTGCTAGGAGGCTTGGATAAGTAGTTACTTATGATTTAAATTTTTCCAACTTGTTTTCTTGCCATCAAGTCATATGACCAAATTAAGAATGGTGTTTGTTTTGATAGTAATTCTTTATCATGTTTTTTTATGTTTAGTGTTGATTCTTCTGAACATATATAGGCACTGATGTGTAGAGTACTTGGTTTAATTAATATAGCATTGTTTGCCAAAATTTAAAAGTACTTTTTTTTAAATATGAAATTTTGAGTTACTTTTGAACATTCAAGTGTTGTTTACTGATATTTGTAATGACTCGCTTACAAATCAGAGACTTCTTAAGCTTGTTGTGTTTATAAATTTTTTTTCTTCTCCTTCAGGTGCTCTGATCCTTGCATCTGGTAAGTCTGGCTCTTTGGCAGTTAAAAGAAAATGTCACTGTGGGATGTACAATCCATATACCTGGAAGAAAATACAGTCTTTTAACTGTCTTAGGAGTACTATTAAAATGCAATGTTTATGGTTACCAAAGAGGAAATGGGTAAATGCATTTCAACATATTTTATGGAAACCAATAGGAATCCGGTATGTTCCTAAGTATTCTCACCCATGTTCTTGTTCCAAGGCAGTGTTTGGACAGCTTCAAATCATTTGGCCAGTCACTAAAGTGTCATTACGTGCCCATTGTCTCAATGCATGATTCGGTACTGAAAAACTAAACAAAGGGAAAAGTTATTATTTCATCTTCTATCCTCAGGTATTCTGTGGTCATGTTTGGATTTCTGTCCAATCTCAGATAAGATAAAGAATACTAGTTTCTAGTACATCTTCCTTCTTTTCCCTTACCTGTCAGTAGTTTAAGAATCCCTAGCTGGTACAAACTGTTAATGAGCTCAGCTTCTAATCAACAGATTGGAGACTCAAGTTCACCAGAGGCCAATCGGAAGAAAGGTCTCAAAATCTACTTCCCAAAAATCAGCCAATGAAAAACCTATGGAGCACAGTTCTGTTTTGACATACATGGCATTGCCATGAGTTAGAGTCAAGTTGACAGCAACAGGTTTAGTCTTCTTTTTTCAGTGATTTGAAGCAAAGTTATCTTTCTTAAAAAAAAAAATCTGTTGCTCTTTTGAGCAATCTTTTGAAACCCAAAATAAATAACTGTGTTGCAATTTCTTTTGCCATTTGGTGTAGTCTTTTTTTTTTTTAGTTTTGTCTGAATTATATGATTTGATTGTTACATATTAGCAATAAGGTTAATATGCTGCCAAAGAAGATGGTTAGAAAATTGTTGGCTAAGGGGCAGCTATAGCTAAATTGACGTACTAAAATGCCATATATCAGTTAAATCAGTTACTTATACAATCCAATACAATCCAACAGCAAATGAGTATAATTTTTGAAATTTTAAAAATTTATATTTTTAGATTATAGACTTAAAAAGCTACCGCCTCCATGCATGAATTACCTAAGGGACAAAAAGGCTGAAAGGTGGTATTTTGAAAATTATTATTTATTTTGTTGTTTGATTGTTTTATATTTTGAATGAACCTATTCTAAACTAAAATCTTTATATTGAAGGGTCCAGCAGTTGGAATTCATGGTTTCTTCTGTATTTTGAATAGGAATAAATATATTCTACATGAGAATCTCATGGTGTCATGTTCACAGAAGTGATGAGTTGAACACTTTTACTCACCTGTTCAGTGTCATTTAGTGAAAGTCTGCCTCTGAAATTCTTGAAGGGTGTATTCTGTCATTTCCTAGAAACCTTCACTTTGGGTTGACTATAATCCTAATTTATGCTCAAAAATAGAAAGCAACTCCTTCCTTATTAAATCAGCTCTGGCAACATATTGGAGTGATCTTTGTAAAATATAAACTTGAAAAATTTCTCTATTTTTTATTCTGTGAATTAGGTCACATCTCACATCACAGATAGGGATATTGGCTGTATTGCTACATTGCAATGTCAGTGAAGGATGCAGATGATATTAGATCTTGAGAAGTATTTGAATTTTGTTTTCCTTTTAAACTTTGCTAAGATAAAAAAAAGAGACCCATCATTCTGTCATTCTGCTGTACTGTGGTGACTTGCATGTTGCTATGAGACCGGAAGCTATTCTACTGATATTTCAAATACTAGTAGGGTCATCCAGGGATTTTGCTGTCTGAATCATAACAAATTGTGGATAACATTGGGAAGGATGAGAATTCCAGATCATTTCATTGTGCTGATGCTGAACCTGTGCATAAATCAAGAAGTAGCTGTTTGAACAAAACAAAGTAGTACTATGTGGCTTAAAATCAGGAAAGCTATTGGTCAGCATTGTATTCTTTCACCATATGTATTCAGTATGTTTGCTGAGGAAATAATTTAAGAAGCTGGACTATCTGAAGAAGAATTCAGCATCCAGATTGGAAGTACTCCTTAACAACCTGCAGTATGCAGATGGCACAACCTTGCTTGCTGAAAGTAAACAAAGAGGACTTGAAGCACTTACTGATGATGACCTAAGACTATAGCCTTCAGTTTGAAGTATACTTCAAAATAAGAACAAAAAAATCCTCACAACTGGACCAATAAGCAACATGGCAAATGGAGAAAAGATTGATATTGTGTAGGATTTCAGTTTATTTGGATTCATAATCAGCATCTGTGACGACAGCAGTTGAAAAATCAAACAGTGTATTGCATTGGGTAGACCTACTTCCAAAGACCTCTTTATAGTGTTAAAAAGTAAAAATGTCTCTTTAGGGACTAAGGTGTGCCTAACCCAAGCCATGGAATTGAAAAAGAGGAAGCCCATTAATGGGATGGACTGACACAGTGGCTGCAACAATGGGGTCAACTATAGATGGAACCATCTCAACGGCACATAACAACAACAACAACATAGATGGTGCAGGAGCAGCAGTGTTCTGTTGTGTTGGGCATAGGGTTGCTATGAGTCAGAACCAACTAAATGAACCTAATAACAACAACAGGAAAGACTGATGAATTATCACAGAATTGCCTTAAATGCCTTGCTAATGAAACTTGTATTGTGCATTTTAAAGATACACTCATTCCTCACTTACCAACATGGTTAGGTTTCAAAGATCAGGTTCTCTATGAAAATCAGCCTTATGCAAAAATGGAGGTTGATCACATCTGACCACCAGTGGAGAATGAATGACTACATCATTACTTAACTGCCAACTGACATCTTTTCATAACTGCCAAATGCCTGAAGATCATGGCCCAACCAAGATTCACAGCCAGTGTTACTCTCACATTGCACCTTGACTTTGTTACTGCCAGACATATGTTGTCAGTGCATGAAATAGTCCAATGATAGATTTTGTTTTATTGTCCCATATATGAAATGTCAGTTAACAAGACAGTAAGTGAGGAAAAGGTGTATTCTTCTGTTGGCTCTGTACCAGTATTTTTCAATTGTTTTCAGTATTTCCCATTTTAGACATATTTTTTTCTCTAGTAATTCCTCCATGAAATTTTAATTCCATAGATATATTACAAATCTGTTTATGCACTGTATGCATATCTGTACTTTATACATAAAAAGTATACGATTTTTTTTTTACTTCTTTGGGAAGTGATCGATACTAATCCCATTGAGTATACATGCTCTGTATGCTGTTTTTAAAAGGTACTATGGTATAGCAGAGTCCTGGTGTTGCACCGTAGAATCAGCACTGGGCTGCTAACCAAATGGTCGGCAGTTCACTTACCAGCTGCTTCTTGGAAACCCTATAGCAGGTCACTATGATTCAGAACCGACTTAACATCACTTACAACAGCAGCACTGGTATAGTAGAAAGAGCCAAAGCCTTGGAGTCAATCAGAGCTTGGTTTGACTCCTGTTATTTTATTTTTTTCATTTTGAAGTAACTGAATGAATCCATATTTCTTCAGAAAAAGAGACAAATGTCGTCTAACATCAACTTTTGTTAGAATTCTGACAAATACAGATGGTACTCTATATAGCAGTATGATTGTTGTTGTTAAATGCTGTCAAGTCGATTCTGACCCATAGCGACCCCATATAGGGTTTCCAAGGAGCAGCTGGTGAGCTTGGACCACCGACCTTGCAGTTCAAATGGCTTTGCAGTCTGACGCATTAGCCCACAGCGCCACATCAGGACTCCATCTTAGTATGATAGTATATATAATGTATATATTATATATATAGTATATAGTATGATAGTATATATATTTATTAGTGTTGTTGTTGTTAAGTGCCGTCGAGTCGGTTCCGACCCATAGCGACCCTGTACAGGGTTTCCGAGGGTGTAAATCCTTACGGGAGTAGAAAGCCTCATCTTTCTCCCGCGGAGCAGCTGGTAGTTTCGAACCGCTGACCTTAAGGTTCGCAGCCCAATTCGTAACCACTACGCTACCAGAGCTCCTTATATTTATTAGTATATAGTATAAATTTTGTTTGAGAAGCGCCAGTATTTTTATTAGAAATTCAATGGACAATTCAAATCATGGCATGACCCTGGGGTTAGAAATGTGCTTTTCTGTAGTAACAAACTGCTTAATGTATCCCTTTCTGGTCTCAGTTTTTCACCTGCAGATGGATAGCATTCAATGCAATCTAATAAATATGTACAAAACACTAACTATTATTTACCAAGCATGATTCTAGTTATTGGAGGTGATTGCATGTTTTTAAAATATATAGTTCTACATAATGGGACATTACTAAAATACTCCCTTTTCTTAGAAAGGAAAAAAAAAGACTTTTTGTTAAATCATGTAAATTTTCTACCTAATTAATTTTCTATAATTGTTGAGTAGGAACTGGGGATCATAATCCTAATTTTGTTCATAATTTCATGATTTAAATTATCCCAACTTGTATAAATATTAAATTGACCCTGATTTTACTTTTTGGGTTAGTTTTCTGTAGATATCAAGTGGATTTTGAGATCAGAAACAATTGCCTTTATATCGGAATCTATTTTGGGGACAGAAATAAACTCGTTAATTCAGTGAGGAAGCATCTCTGTTGAACCATGTTTCGTGTATTTCTGTGCATTTCTCCAGTTTTCTGTGAAGCCATCAGCCTTCACAAACTTTCATGAACATGTACAGGTGTGCTGATTTGTTACTTGGGTCATGTAGATACTCTGAATCACTTTGCATTTCTGTCTTCATTTAGCATTTCAGTTGTAAAGGGGACATCTCTGAAATGTTCGAAAATGATGAGATGAATGCAAAGTGATGAGAGGAAGGGAAACTCAGAATTGATGAGGAGCTAGGGTTCATTTGAGGGATATAAAGTTTTTCTGTGCTAATGATACAGAAGTAGGGGATCAGTTAAGAAATTGCTGAGGTAAAATACTGCTAAAAATTTACCTGTGAAAGAAATAGGTGCTCTTAGAGTACAAAAGAAAAGCCACGACTATAGAATCAATTCTGATTCAATGCAGCTCTGTAACACAGAGCACCACTGTTCCTGAGGGTTTTGTTGTTAGGTGACTTCAAGTCCGTTCCAACTCAGCCACCCAGGATAGGGTTTCCAAGGAGTGGCTGGTGAGTTTGAACCACCGACTTTGTGGTTCAAAATGACCTTGTAGTTCAGTACTTTAGCCCACAGTGCCACACCAGGGTTTATGAGACTGTAAATCTTTATGGGATCAGACAGCCTCATCTTTCTCCTGAAGAGCTGGTTTGAACCACCGACCTTGCAGCTAGCAGCCTAATACTTAACCCACAGCACCACCAAATTCTACTTTGGGTAATGAGGACCAATCAATTCATCAGTACATCTGGAGTGCTAGAGGACAGCGCAAGAAATGGAAACAATACTTACGCAGGGATTGGGTCTGCAGATAGCCTTAGATCAACTCCCTTTTATCTTAAAAAATTAATTCACTTTGGAACCCTCACTAGATCTACAGGTTGTTGTTGTTTTTTTTCTTAAAACAAACAAACAAACATGAATACATAAGGCCTTGTAATTGAATGACATCTATCTTTTGTTGCTTTGTACCCCAGTGGACTTGTTAGTCACATAAGCCACAGTTGTTTTTCTAGTTCCGTCTACAATTTATTTTATTGTGCAGATTAGAGGAGTAAGAGTCCATGGACATTGGGTTGGGGGAGTTTAGGGAGCAAAATGGAGCCTGAGGATGGTGAGGGAATAGGGCAGATGGATGATTTTGAGAAGGAAGTTTGTGCAAACTATAAAAGTTGTTTGCTGTTGACAAATTTATTTGACCAATTACTGACTTTTCTTCTAATCAAAATAGTGCTTTTAATTTTGCAATTAAATATTAGTTTTCCTGAAATTTCCTTGACAATAGTCTGAACACTGAGAAGCATATTCTAAAGGCAGAGTAAATATATGATACTCTCCCTGCTGGCGTGATGAGATATGAGCAAGTTTCCTTTGAAAGGGAAATGTCTGCGTATCTGTTCTCTCTAGGAACCTTCACGTAGCCTTCATCTTCAATTCACTCATCTCCCAAATGAGACTTTTGGGAGTAAATGAACTGGAAGATACTTCCTAGCTGGAAAATGACATAGTTCAGTTAACATATCTGAATGGTCTAAACATTTAAAATTGAGCGTAGTGAGGTTGAAACACCTTTAGAATCCTCTCAAACCTGCCAGCCTAGTTTATTGGAGCATTGTGATACTTTAAAAATACTTTATTTCCATTTTATTTCAAAGACAAAGAGAGCTGGTGACAGCCAGAGTTTATTGTCAAACTTGTGATGTAAGGAAGTCATATGCAAAAAGTAATTCTGTGATGCCTCGTTTTTCTTTTAAGTTGCTTTCTATGCAGTATGTTTACCACTGGGAACTTTTGCTGCTCTATTGTGTCTTTGCTTGTGTGTCTATTAACTGTGTTTCTACATTTTTTCCCCTCTCAAGGATTGGTTGCTGGTACTATAATTGGTACCCTAATTCTAGTCAAATTTATCTGGGACTATGGAAAATCAGGGTGAGCTGAAGTTCTGATGGTTTCCTAAAAATGTAATCTTAGCTTTTTTCCAGTAAAACCTTAATATACTGTCTTAGCATTTTTGTATTCTAAACATGCAATCTTGTCATTCTTTTCATTTGTAATTGATACCCAGGATAAACAAACTCTTTGCATGCCCATGTATGTATGTATGTGATTTTTTTATTTAAATTTCTCAGTGAAGTCAGACACTAAGCACATATCAAAGGAAAGTAATTTAAAGTTGAAATGTTAACATTGCATGTGGTTAGATCTTTTGCTGAATCCTGTTCATTACTAGATTCCAAGACTACTCAAAAAGATCCCAGTATTTAATCAGGTGAGTTCTGGAGCTGATCTGCTCAGCTGGCCACTTGAGTCTATGTGACAGACCAGCTTTACTTACTGTCTGTGCTTCAGTTTCCTCATTTGAGATTGGACAAATATAGTCCCCAACTCATAGGGTTGTTGTTGTTGTTGTTGTTATGTACTGTGGAGTCAGTTCTGACTCATAGCAATCTTGCACAGGGTTTCCAAGGCTGTAAATCTTTACGGAAGCAGAAAGCCTCATCTTTCTCCTGCGCAACAGCTGGTAGTTTTGAACTGCTGACCCTGAGGTTAGCAGCCCGATTCTTAACCACTACACTACCAGAGCTCCTTTCATAAGATTGTAGTGAGACTCAATTAACTGCCAAACAACAAATAAAGAGATTAGAACATTGGCTGGCACCTTGTAAACACTTAGATGTTAAGAAAACAACACACAAAAATATATGTGATACCTAATCTACATTGATTTCACATGTTAAGTACAAATGTCACACTTGGCCCTAATGTATAAAGAGGATTATTTAAATTGAAACCTCTTCTATTTTGTAGCTTTCTTTGGTTAGGAAATCTAATTGTGGAGTCCATTTAGATTTTTTTCTAAACTGCCCTAACACCTATTTTTCTCATTAATTAATTAAGAACAACTATATTTTTATGCTGTTAATAAATTGCCTATTTTAATAATTTGGATGATATGAGTTATGTACTTTTCATCCTCTGTAACTCTTCTTTCTCTTTAAATTAATGATGTAACTCAAGCCTATTACAGCTGATATATGTAATATTCTTTAAATCAGTAAACAGTTCAATCTTTTAGTAAAAATGTTTAACCATTAGATTCTGTTTTGTTTTTGTGTTTTTCAAATAGTTTTTATAAGTGCATGTTGTTGTTGTTGTTAAGTGCCGTCGAGTCGATTCCGACCCATAGCGACCCTGTATAGGGTTTCCAAGGAGCCACTGGGGAGCTTGAACCTCCGATCTTGCAGTTCAAATGACTTTGCAGTCTGATGCTTTAGCCCACAGTGCCACACCAGGACTCCATAGATGTATGTTGTTGTTGTTGTTAAGTACCTTGGAGTCGATTTCAACTCATATTGACCCTGCACAGTTTCCAAGGCTGTAAATCTTTATGGGAGTAGAAAGCCTTGTCTTTCTCCCATGGAACAGCTGGTAGTTTGAAACTGCCAACCTTGAGGTTAGCAGCCTGATTTGTAACCACTACACTACCAGAGCTTTATAGGTGCATGTTAGGTGCTATAAAATGGAAATCAGTAAAGAGATATTTTCTGAAACTTTTAAAGAACATTGTTAGAGCCCAGCAAAAACCTAAGAGTTCTAGTAATATAAAAGAGTCAAGTTGATTCTGATGCCTTAGCAAAATTACTCTGGAAATTAATCAAACTACACATCGTTTATACTTTCTTACACTAATTTTAATAGAATGGTTCCAAAACCTGTATTTTGGAGCTTGGTTAGGGAGGAGGGGGCAGAATGAATTGATCAGTTTCTTTGAATATTTTCATTAAAAAAAAAAATTGGTCATGATATTTTTAACAGAATAAAAATTGCTAAAAAGTAGAAGGAGGGAATATTTTTTTAAATTGTGTTGGGATTTTGCAGTAAACCTATTTCCTCGATCTGTGAATCAGAGGGAAAAGCTTACAAACCCATAAAAGGAATTTTCCTTTTGTACGTGCACACAAAAACAGTCCACTTAACTTATCTTTGAAGTATAAGCTCTCTATGGTGAGAGAAAACTTTATGTAATTTGGTGATGGTTGTGATTTCATATGGATCTGATCTTTATCAGGGCAGGGAAAATAGTTCTTGAGTGTGATGTTGACATTGTAGTTTCATCTGGTGACCCTTGTGTTTACCTATGGAAGGAATTATTCTCTTTGAAGTACTGGGTTTATATGGGACATTTTACTTGATGAAAGGGATGGGCATTGTAAACTAATGTGTGACTTCACATTTTGATTGAAATTCAAATTGTATACTTCCGTTAATGTTTCCCCTTCTCTACTATTCAGCTCTTATAATACACATGAGAACAACAAAGCCCTCAATGTTGTCTACCACAAGTTTACTTTGACTGGTGGTGCCTCCGAAGTAAGAACTTGTGGTAAATTATAAAAGGTATATGGTTTCAAATAGTCACCTCTCTGAAGTTTGCATCTGTCAGTACATTTGGCTGAGGGTTTATCTCTGACAATGGATAATAGATGTTAGAGCCTCTATTATTGGTGGATGTGTTCGTTTCTCTGCCTTTCTGACTAACATGGAATCCCTCATTAGCTTGACATATCACCAGTTTATGACTTTTCAGAAATATACTCATCACCTTACCTTGTGTTTTGCACTCAGTATTGTAATGATTGGATGTTTAATAGTGCCACAAGTCTTGGGGTTGGGAGTGGGGAGAAGGATACTACAGTAGGGCATTTCAATAGGAATGCCTTCAGTATGATGATTTGCAGCATGAAATGATTGGCCTATATGTGCTGTATTTGTTTCTCCCTTTGCCTAGTGGCTTTCAGAGTTTTGAATGTTTAGGAAATCTGAAATTTTGTCTGAGGCATCATTTTTATGTCATGTTTACAGTTATTAAAAAATATGTCTTATGTTGTTTTATAAAATTGCTTAACAAAAATAATTTGATGTAAATGTATTTGTGAAAACGTCTTCTCTTGGCCATTTTTCCTCTAACTCACAGATAGCATGCCTTTCTTCAGGGGATTTTCATTAATTCTAATCTAAAAGTTTCTTAACTGATTCTAACATTTTCACTGTTATCTCAAGAAACTAAAAACCCAGCTGGTGTTTAATTGGTATTTGTTAGCTCTTCTAAACTCTCATGTCATATATAAGAGTTGTCTCTACTCTATAATTTACTAATTTTGCATGCAAAATTAACTTAATAAATTCTTGTATCACATAGTAGCAGAACAATTAAGTTTATCTCCAGTAAATAAAATCATTTCAATTTTAACTTTTTTTTTTTTTAATTTTCAGGCCACACATGCATGATACTGACAGTTTTACTTATGATGCTAGTAGCCATTGGCTAGCTAGTTTAACCAAAGAAGAGCTAAGAAGAAAGTGCACACAAGTGCACGGAACATTTCTAGTTGAATTAGAACTTTCTGGAGCAGTGGGCACCGCTTTTGAGATTGTGTTCTTTGTTGTGCATGACATCATTGTCTTTTAGACACACGGATGTCAACGAAGCAAGGAGGGAAAAGTTCATCCTGACATCACATTCTGAACATTCCTAAACCTCTTGAAAACAGAGCTGGCAGGATTCAGCATGATTACGCTCCTAAATGTGGAGGGAAGTGTAGAGCTTGTTTTATGGTTAGAATGTGAGCAAGGAAAAAAAGAAAATGAGTTTGTTTTTTCACTAGATGGGTAAAGTAATTTTTACTTAAAAGGGAAATAAAAAATAAAAAGAACATCAATTGAATATTGAAGATAAGAAAAAAACAAATCATTAAATTGGTTACTGAAAGCAAACAAATGAAAAACTGAAAACAATCTCTCATAAACAAATTGGCCAAAGAGTGTTGAATCACATTATAAAATAACCCTTGACTTATCAGACATTTTCATCTTTCCTTATCCTATGAAAACAAATCTAAATAGGTTAGTGAAATATTTTATAGGAAAAAAAATATACTAATAACCCAAGAGTATTGAGTTTCTTGGGTTAGTTTGTGGCAAGAGAGAAATTATAGAAAGAAAGAATAATTCTCCTTCTTTACACAAGTGCAGATAAGATAAAAACTATTGTAAGATAAATCAGTTGCAATTTTGCCCTTAGGACAATTTTTTTGTTTGTTTGTTTGTTTTTGCGCTAGGCACCCAATGCAAGAAGTGCCCTTGTACTTAATGTGTTTGAAAGGACGCAGAGATATTATAATATTAGCATAAGAAAATATTCTATATTTGTGAAGTGAAATGGTCATAGCCAAATTGTAAATTGTGTTCTTTTGTAATATTGAGATTTACTTATTTATATTTATTTATACCAGTGAACACATTGGTTTACATGTATAACAAGAAATGTTCACACATTCACAAAGATATGTAAAGAAAAATTTATTTTCCCTCAAGAGAAATAAATAACTGATAACATTTTTGTCTCATGTAGTATTTGAAATTAATTTTTTTAAATGTGAATAAATTATTCCTAAATAAGAGAGTCCTCCCTGCCTCTCTCTCCCATGAGTAGGTTAGAATGCTGCCTTTTGATCAAGTTATTGTGAAATATTTTCAGTTTCTTCTAAACTATAGTATATTATACTTTCCTAAGCATGTTGTTGTTGTTAAGTGCTGTTGAGTCAGTTCTGACTCATAATGATCCTGTATAAGGTTTCTGAGGAGCAGCTGGTGAGCTTTAACTGATAACCTTGTGTTTCAAATCGACCTTGAAGTCCAGCACATTAACCTGAAGCACCATACATACTACTCATATTAGAGTTTTGATGTAATGTTTTTACTATTGATTTAAAAATGTATCACAAACCAGAGAAGTAGTGATGCCTGAGATGGAGGCAGAGACGATGACGTGGAGAGATAGAGCCGTTGGGGACTTTAGACACAGAGAGGGTGAGGGGCTGTGTGCTGATGACGGGGGTGGGGGGGCAGGCTTGTAGTGTATACCCTTTGGTTGGTTGATGATGCATGGAGGGGATTGTAACCATGGCAATGAGAGACAATACACGATAAAATGAATGCAAAACTAATGTTCTCCCATTTAAACGATCACATAATTCACAATAAAACATTAAAAAAAGTCTATCACATTATCTTCTATAATAATATTTTCTTGCCATATTTCCAATTACATTTTCAGTATTAGTGTGCACAGACCCATATCTAACAATACTTTGCCATATTTTCTGTTGTTGTCTTGAAGTATTTTAAAATAATTCCATATGCATCATGGAATTTCACTATAAAATACTTAAGTATGCATTTCTAACAATAGAACATTATTTCTACCTAACCCAATCGTTACTAACAAGATTAATAATTATGTTCTAATATTTTCTGACAATAGAAAATGCTTTAAATGCCCCCTAAAGATTCTAGAATCAAGCACATATCCACCTAATCATTCATCTGTCAAGTATGAGGGCCCACTCTGCCTATTCTGTGACAAGCTAGTGCTTGTTAGGAGGTAAAGATAATCCTGATGCCATTATTCAGAAACATCTAGGAGAGCCACCTGTGTGCATGGTCTAGGTGCTGGGGTTACCAAGATGACTACAACATAGCACCTGACCTCAAGTTGCGATAGCCTACCACAGGAAGTCCTAGACAATACACTTACTTAAAAAGGAAAGATGGAGTTCTAAGTGTTAAACACATGCACAGAATACTATGGGTGCTTACATTGTGTTTGCTGAATGAATGACTGGTACAAAGCATTCAAGACAGATGCCTATTGAGAAAAGACAAGTCGATTATCTTGATAGAATTTGAGCCTTCAAATTGTACAGCCTACTCAAGGAATAAAGACTTAGGGACAGGGAAAAAGAGTGATATGACCAATGTCAAAGTTATTGCTAAGTGACTCTGAGTCAGTTCCAATTCATAGTTTCCAAGGAGCAGCTAGTGGGTTTGAAAAGCCAACTTTGTGATTAGCAGTCTACTGCTTACCCTGTTGTTGTTAAGTGCCGTGGAGTCGGTTCCGACTCATAGTGACCCTGTACAGGGTTTCTGAGGCTATAAATCTTTATGGGAGCAGAAAGCCTAATTTTTCTCCCGCGGAACAGCTGGTAGTTTCAAACTGCCGACCTTGGGGTTAGCAGCCTGATTCTTAACCACTACACTACCAGAGCTCCTTGATATTCATAATAAATGCCCAGGACTGTACTTAGTATGGACTGTACTTCTACTTTATATCATTTTAATGCATACTGTCCCTACTTACAAATAAAAAGTTGACTATAGTAAACACATGCTTTGACTCATAGGCAGCAGTATCCAATCCAATCCCATTTATTAACTATCTCTTCAGTGCTGTAGCATTATCTTTCTGTTTAATTTCCCTTCAAAAGTATTACCATACAATGCATCATATCTCCCCAGTGCAGCAAAACCAGTGCTCATGTTCGCAACAGCAAGATGCAAAGGAGGAGTAATGATCTGGACGTAATGAAACAAAATGTTATTAAACTACACAAAGGTAAAAAATCAGCGAATGCTGTTTGCTCATAATTTAGACATGTCTGTTTGCTAAGTACATAAGATGGTGTTCACACAACATTCAAATCGTACGATGTCCTATTTCACAGAACTAGTAGGCATGTTGAGGGGAATGAGACCTTCTTATGGGATTCAGTTACTTTACCTTGTCAGGAGATTAAATGGTTTTTAAGGTAAACTCTCCTATGAGATTTTATTTTCATTGCCAATGTTGTATTTTCTTTACTCTTGAACTTACTATAGGAAATCATACATGATCACTAAAGAAATTGGAGTTTTATAATATTTAACCCACAGGCTTATCATTAGCAAATTTCTGGTAACATTTGAATATTAATCATTTTTGTCTCGTTATACTTTTGCCGTATTTTCTTTGGCTAATGCCACCCCTCACTCCACTCCCCTGTGTTGAGTGGTCCCTCCACCTCCTTGTTTGAGTGAAGACCCTTTCAAGACTCCATATACTTCAATGAAGGAGCCCTGGGGGCACAGTGGTTAAGTACTCAACTGCTAACACAAAGTTTAGCTGTTTGAACCCACCAGTTGCTACATAGGAGAAAAGACTTTGCAACATGCTCTCATAAAGCTAACATAGACATCCCTATGTTGTTGTTAAGTACAGTGGAGTCGGTTCTGACTCAAAGTGACTGGGGCAGTTCTATTCTGTTCTATAGTCACTTAAATCAGAGCTGACTCAATGGCACAGATGTTCACCAACCTGTTGTTAAGTGCCGTGAAGTCAGTTCTGACCCATAGTGACCCTGTACAGGGTTTTCCTAGGAGCAGCCTGTGGGTTTGAACCATCGACGTTGCAATTATCAGTCCAGTGTGCATCCTGGTGACGGTGAGTTCCTTATTTGCACTACCACTTCCTCATATATCTTCCATATGTTCTTGTAAGAGTTGCTGGTTTTTCATTCACGTAGAGTAATTTACTGAAAAGTTCTTTTTTTTTCTTAATTGTTTTTCCTCTGTCAATTCCAAGCAGGTAGCCAGACCTTGGTATTTCTTGCTATTCGGGAATTAAACAATAACAAAAAGATAGCTACAAAAATACCAGGAAATTCCAATTCTATGGTAGTACGTAAGTCCTCTTGATCTAAAAAATGAGAACAATCTTGGTGGAACAAGGAAAAATATATAAGAGATTTGCATGAAAAGTCCATTAAAAAAACTTCATTTACACCAATAATATCTATCACTTTAAGTTACAGATATGCAACAAATCATTTGCCATTTCAATGTTCTGCATATGTAATAATACACATTATGTTTTGCAACTACCACCATTGTTTCTAAATTTCCCATCACTCTTAACAAAAGTTAAGTGTCCAGTAAGGAACAAGTCAGTCCACCTTTTCTCCTCCCTCCCTCCTGGTTCCGGTAATCACTAATTAACCTGGATCTCTCTACACTGGTCTGTTCTAGGTATTTCATATAAGTGGAATCACACATTGGGTTCCTTTGTGACTGACATTTCACTCAACATAATGGTTTTAAGTTTCATCCATGTTTTCTCGACTGCCTTTGTTGCCGCTGTTGAGCGCTGTTGAGTGGGTTCCAACTCATAATGACCCTGCATTAGGGTTTCCGAGGATCAGCTGGTGGGTTTAAACAGCTGACTTTGTGGTTTGCTGTCCCATACTGACTCAAGAGCACCAAGCCAGGAGTCCTGATTGCCTACTAAGTGCTGTATATTCTGTTAGGAATTTTTTGTGAGTTACCCCTCATAGCACCCAGTAACTTAAATAAATGAAGGAGATAAAAAACCTGACAACCAACATCTGAGTGTTTTGGTGTGTGATGTGTGCTGATGGTGCTGGCTTTCCCTCTGATAGGAAAATCTATTGGAATGTTTATTTTCCCTCATAGTCTTCCCTCTCTTAATTCCAAACATGTAACCAGAACATCGTGACAGATGGAGCAGAACTGCTTGCCACCCCGCCTGGCCTTTGTTCTCTGAAACCCTAGACACTCAGCAAGGGCTATGCAGGG